CGGCAGCTCTCAACTTCCTTCTCAAACCTCAGCACGCAGTGGAAATGGACGCGTCAGAAAAACGCTTAAAATAAGATTACTTTACTTCGAGTGATCCCCACCATGACATTCATACATTTTATTGAATAAATGAGCATATTATTCCCGTGTTTCACCTGGCATTCTATCTGGCATATCTTCTTGCATTCTGTCTGGCAAACTATCTAGCATATTATCTGCCATTCAATCTGCCATTCTATCTGGCAATCTATCTGACATACTATCTGGCATACTGTCTGGCATACTATCTGTCATTCTATCTGGCACATCTTCTGGCATTCTATCTGGCATTTTATCTGGCATATTTTCTGGCATTCTATCTGGCAATGTATCTAACAATCTATCTGACACACTATTTGGCATACTATCTGGCATATCTTCTTGCAGCATTCTATCTGGCAATCTACCCGGCATTCTATCTGGCATTTTATCTGGCAAACTATCTGGTTGAGGTCCAGCGGCGCACACTGCGATCGGCTCCTTGCGGTTGAGGTCCAGCGGTGCACACTGCGAGGGGATCCTTGCGGTTGAGGTCCAGGCGTGCACACTGCGATTGGATCCTTGCGGTTGAGGTCCAGGGATGCACACTGCGATCGGATCCTTGCGGTTGAGGTCCAGGGGTGCACACTGCGAGGGGATCCTTGCGGTTGAGGTCCAGGGGTGCACACTGCGATCCGGAGCTGGCCAGACAAGATCGGCGAAGCAGATTGGCGAGGAAGGAAGCAAGGAGGAAGGAGGAAGGAGGAGGACGAGGAGGCGGCGGAGGCGGAGGCGGAGGCGGAGGCGGAGGCGCAGGCGGAGGCGGAGGCGGAGGAAGAACAGCTGTGATAAAATCTAACAACCCTCACCTGGCAGGTGGGGAAGAAACCGTGGAAAGGAAGAAGTCAGTAAACAAGCTCTTTTTACCAAGAGAGGTTTTTAGAAGGGATCTCTTTTCTTAAAAGGGGTAATGGGGGATTGTTTGGGTTCCTTATTGTAACCTGTTCTTCGGTAGTGCTTAACATTTGTTGAAGCATGTGTCCTCCTACTATTTCAGCAATGGCAATGTGAACATCAAAGGGGCGATTCTACAAGTGAAAGTTTGTGTCATACTTGAAAAACAGAAAGAATTAACAACATATCAAACTTGTTAGAAGGAATGTGGCCAATAAGCTGTCAGATCTGTGTATTGCACCACTTACCAAGAAGTAGAAGGGGAACATCAATAAGTGAAACCACAACCACTACCAGGCGCAAATGGCAAAGAACATACCTAGTGAGCAAAGAGTTGCTGTGGTGCTATTACAAGAGCAAGGGGGTTCACCATACGCATGTAGCATTCAGAAACACAGCCGCGCAAAATTACTTGAACAATATCCTGGATGCTGTTGCAAGTGTGCTACTAAAGCAAAGAAAATGATGTCATAGACAAAAGACTGACAATGAGCTATAAAACTAAAACGTCGTTTACGCAAAACATTGCACTTATCAATGTCGCTTGGTTCTGAAGCAAAAGCCATGTAAATAGGTCTTTTCATTGCTTTGCAAAAAGATCATTCCAGTGCAAAGAATCATCCCGCCAAAAATAGACCACTTCACGGTACAACGATGGTTTTCTCTTGAAAAACCCATTGTTCCAATAGCAAAACAACATTCCACAAAAGCATTTGGCAACAGTGGATGCGTCTTCCATGAGGGAATTCTTGTAGTGCCTAATCAACAATATTCATGAGGAATTAGAGCGTGATACAGGCTCACTAACAAACAACAATCAATTGATCAAATAGTTCTCACGCCAAATAGTTTTCTGGTTGTTATAACATGAAGTAGCCTCTGCAATACAAACACCCATTACAAGGCACAGAAAGCAGCGCAACCACACGTTTAATACCTTAGTGCGAAATTGTCCTTTGGTATATAAGCAAGCATGGTGGTCAAACAGTGGTAGTTGCACTAGACCAGCAAATGTTTATAAACAATTATATATATATATATATTTATTGTATATATATATTTATTGTCCAAAAACAATTCCAACTCCTGAGTAGAAGGGGGGAGGGGGGGCTGGGAAGTCTTAAACGTTCTGTTTGAAGGTTTGACGGAGGAGGAGGAGAGGAGGAGGAGGAGGAGGACGGGCTGTGCCCCCACCACCCTTGACTATCACAAGTCACATCACCCTCAAGTATCACAAGTCACATACTACCCCGCCTCCCCCCTCACCTCGGCAATCACAAGTCACCCCTCCCCTCGCCCTCGCCATCGACTGTCGCAAGTCGACTTTGATTAAAGTAGATCAGACAGAATGTATATTTTTTTGCGCATTTGCTTTTGTAGAAAATGATGGATTTGCTCGCAAACGGCTGATTTGTTAGCAGGGGATTGATTTGTTAGACGATGAATTACAAGACACATATACAACAAATAAAGTTGGATCATATGATTCAGAAACAATTGCTTTCCAGAGGGCCCCGAAATGTCTGCAAGCCCATGTAATATACATATACAGTGCCATTCCACATGCAACATAGAGAACGGGTCACAAGAGCTGCCTGAAATCCGAGACATCTACCCCCAGGCCAAAGAACGCAATCATCAGGCAGCTTCAAAATCTCACTGGAACAAAGTTCCTCCAGCCTGCGTGGTTCGACACGCACATGTCACGGATATGCAGTGGGACAAACGGCGTGCCTTTGCAGCACCTTCTGGGCGTTCAAGGCTTCATGCTTTGGCCCAAAGATCCGAAGTGCCTGTGAGCAAAGCATTCAATCTTTCAGCCGCTTTCTGTGCAAGTGAGTGATTGCAGTAAACTCATTCGGCTAAAACAGCTTCAGGAGCCAGCAGTTAACTAGTATGTAGGCTAATGGCATGGGCCAAAAGGAACTGATCCACCATGGCACTAAAAACTAGGCTTCTGTGAGCCCCCAGCTGAGTCCGTCCTCCCCTCTCCGAGTTGCCAGTGCATCACGCTCGACATGCACACGGTAGCCCAAGAGCTCTTGCAGCTTACTCAAAGTCAAGGGCAAGTCATCTGTTGCAGTCTCCTTGACCAAAGTTCAAGGCTATGCGCCAAACCACACAGCTTCAAACTTAGCCGGGCCCAAGCCGTGCATGACAACCACTCATGCATGCCAACCAAATGACACGCAATCATATCGCATATCCCGTGGGGTTGTATTCATATAATTTTCAACACACGTCGAAATAAACAAGGGCACGCACCAGGATATATCAGCAAAACACGCGCAAACACACACTCGGGATAAAGGAAACGTACGGAGGCCGCCAAAGCCTGTGAAAAAAGGGCCTGAGTACAGCCAGGTAGGAACAAATTGGAAACGGTTGCAATAGGGAAATCCATAATCACCAAATGAACATAGAAGAGTGAGTGCACCCAAGTCTTTCACAAAAGATATTGAATCACAAACAACAGCACTTAAATACATAGAGAGCCGGTACGGAAGTTTCCAGTTGATTTCCACAGCGTCGTTAGCGTGACTAGGGAAATCAACCGTCACGGCCCCTGCTGAGAAACCAGAAGCCTATCTGTGGCTTCAAGGGTGGCACACGCACGCAC